TTATAGTGTGAACACCATCTTGGTTACTTTCTCCTTCCCCCGTGTGTGTCGCCCATACTTCGGTGTGCGGGCTCACGCTCCGACTTGGACAATTTTCCGCATAGTGTACTTGCGCCATCAAATATTTGGTTGTTAAATCACTTCGATTTTTTAATATAAGTATTACCCATATACCTAAAAATAGGAATTAAAAATGTACTACCAGTACAGTAATGTTACCGGAGTCAATTACTTAGAAGCGTACTTATGTTGATTTTTTTCTAGAACCGAAATAAAATATTATCCTTATCCAAACTGAAAATACAATACACAGTACAGTCATATTTATTGACGTCAATTTTCTTGACTCATTTAATAAATCTTTATATAAAAACATACTAAGCACGACTTGTTACCGCTCTGATATTTAAATACTTACATGCATATTAATCCGTTTGTGTATGTTCGATTCTAAAATAACGTAGGGAACAATAATAATGTGACTTCGATCACCTTCGAACAGATTCTGAATGATGTATTGTACATAGCATTTACTTCGAATAATTTACATTCCATTTTGTATCCTATTTAGCCTTCAGTATGAATGAGTAGGTTATTTATGCTAAAAGTAACGAAATTTTAAGATGCACCTTATCATTGTGCTCGTAGTTTCCAGTATTACCTACTTATGAACACACTGGAGTCAAGAAATCCTAATAATATAATCCAATATATGTATAAAATTTTAAACTATTTTTTTAAGTTTGAATTTCTTTTTGAATTATTCTGGAATACGGGTATATTTCTAGAGTATTTATATTTTTTGACAAAGGAAAACGGCTTTCAATCATATTATATTTAAATCTGTATATCTGTTTTCTACAAGTCCTTATAAAATAATAGATAATAGTTTGTCACAAGTGTGCCAAATACAGTCGTATCATCTATGTATTTGGAGCTACATTTTATCTTGATTAAATAAATCGTCTTGCTAAAGCTCTACACATACTTAGGCATACATAATATTATGATTATAATAGAGTCCATCCAGTGTGGTTTAACCTTTTGACCTTTTTTACCCTACCTTACATTTACAAAATGACCAAATTGTCAAAAAACACGCTGTAAATAGAAACAAATATGCTATTTTTATGCGTCATATTTCCTCTTTGTACAGATTTTTACCGAGAAAAGATTTATTATGCATTGACAGATCTGAAAATCGTAGGTAAGCTTAAGCTTAACTGCAAGTTATTGTAATAAAAATTTTCAGGATTTGTGAAATTTGAAGTTAGCCATTTCATATCCCAACTAATATTATAAATGCGAAAGTAACTCTGTCTGTCTGTCTGTCTGTCTGTCTGTCTGTCTGTCTGTCTGTCTGTTACGCTTTCCCGCTTAAACCTCGCAACCGATTTTGATGAAATTTGGCATAGAGATAGTTTGAGTCCCGGGAAAGAACATAGGATAGTTTTTATCCCGGTTTTTGAAACAGGGACGCGCGCGATAAAGTTTTTCTGTGACAGACAAAATTCCACGCGGGCGAAGCCGCGGGCGGAAAGCTTTTTAAATAGTTGATTGAATTGTTGATAAAAGGCAAATACCTAAGTATCATTACCTACAAAGTTTCGTCACTATTTTTAAGCCTAGAAAGATATTCTAAGGTGGTTCTTCAGTTTTCAAAATGGCCAACTGTACAATATTTTAATTATCAAAATGATAACCGTCGGCTACGAAAAGGCGAATACTTATTATTGTAAAAAAATATTTTTAACCGACGTGTCGTAGATCTGTGTGTATGTTGTTGTATGTTCAAGTATTAAAAGGACTGAGTTTCTTATCACTTGTACCCTAAATTAGGGCTTTGTAATCTCTCTCACCTTTGTATTAGGGTATAGCCAATGTCTTGTGTTGGGTTTGTGTTAATTTATATTAAAATATATTTTAAGTAGTTTGCTGTTTCATTTATTTCAGCAAGAACTCGATATTAATATTGAAAGTTATGCAAACTACTACCCGTACCCAAAAACGTAGAGTCAATAAGATATAGGTATATACTATAAGATTCCGCTCTACATAAAATGTTGAATACGATAGAATTACAATTAGATTCTACCTAAGTACTAACTTTTTATAAAACATACTCGTCGTAGCAACAAAACCGTAAACATTGTTTGACAAAAATCTACCTGCTCTATTTCCGGACTGTGGCTTTATTGTCACCACGCACCCTCTTTCGCGCAGGTACGTACACAGACTAACCTCTCTATGTCGCACGAAGGCTCACAATTAACCTACTTTTCCAATCGTGTAACAAACATCCTTACATTAATATTCTAGGGGTGATGCACAACCAACTGTTCATGAATCGACAGAACATGAACATCGCTTGTGCATATCGCTCCACCGCTGGAGACATTTTGTGTGGAGGTTAGAATGAATCATAGAATCTGCGATAAACAAGTCAAAGGGCACAACAGTTTACTACAGTGGTTATTACGAAGTGTATTAGAGGTAAGTGCTAATTTTTGTCATTATATCACGTAAGTAAAGCCATTTAAACGACCATTATCGTTACGTTGTTTTTTGTCAAAGGTCTACATCGTGTTGAATTTCCTAAGTTTTTCATAACTTAATGATGGTACTAAAAACTTATTTAAAAACACATACCTACAGTGATACGAAAAGTTTTGTTAGTGTCTGACTTTTGTTGAAAGTGCAAAATTGAAAAAAACAAGTATTTTAGCAGACCCAAAATTATTTAAATTTTGTCTGCTTGTAAAACAAAAAATATAAATACTGTGTAGTTTGTTTTAGTATGAGTCCAGGGTAAACTCTACATCTCTATGAGTACAAAAAATCTTTAAGGATAATCCTTGCAACAAAAGTTCGCGATGATAACCCAACGGTTTAGGCATACGACCAATTCCAGAGGACGCAGTTCGATTCCTGTCTACCGCTTTTTATTTAGCTTGCCTGGAAAGGTAATGAGAAAAAATTGAACAAATTACTAATAATATTTAAAAAGAAAAGCTGGCGCCTACTTTATTTTTGATAGCAATTACTACTTAGACTCAACAATAAAATGTAGAGCAGTTGTTCAAATTAAGTTTGAAGATTTAAAAAATGTCAAGTGAAACGCAATTGTACGTTTGAAAAGCCTAGGCTTTAGGAAACATAAAGCAATTAACATTATCAACTGAGCCAGTCTGAACCAGGATTATAATTGCAAATAATACGTGACACGTTAAGATGCACTTGATAAGTCCACTTATCAACGACAGATTAGTAATATTTCATGCAAACTTTTTATTTCACCAGTTAAAAAACTGGATGAGTCAACACGCACGTATTTTAAGATATGTAATAGGTAGGTAGGTATACTGTACTCACGATTGTTTATAAGGGGGCGTCCATTAATTACGTGGGACAATTTTGGCTATTTTTTAACCCCCCGACTCCCTTGGTGAGATTTCATGAGATTTTGCCAGACCCCCTCCCCCACCAACTAATCTCACGTGAGATTTTCCAAAATGCCTATTTGCAATGTAAATGAGATAATCCGTGCTTCGAAAATATTGGATTTTATAAAAAAAACCAGACCTGCGTAAAAAAATTAACTTAGTACAATTTTTAATTATTAGTATACATTTTGTTAATATTTAAGCATTGGTAGCAAACTGCGGATCGAAAAACTGGGCCTGTGTTCACAAATGCAGACGGAGGATTTACTCTGTTTGTTGTGGAAAAAAATTACGTGATATTACTCGACACCCCCTCCCTTCCTTACGTGAGATTGATTAAGTGAGGTTGTTCTGGGGGCCCCCCCCCCCCCTAAAAGTCTCACGTAATTAATGGACGCCCCCTAAGCAATATCGATTGTTTCTATCGATGACGAAACCTAGTCCTCAAACTACCAGACGATAACATTGACAGATAGTAACAATTTGTGTTATCAGTCCGTGCTGTAGCTCCGGTCGCTACCGCATGCATGCTGTCTTAATTATTGCTTATCTGCATTCGTTATTTTATTGTCATAAAAATAACATCGTGCTTCAATTGTTTTTGAGTTACAAAAATACGGATTCAAAATGTTACGTACAGTTCAGTGATATTTTCCATAATAATAGAGATATGTGTGTGTTTAAATTAAATGATACACAATGTGTGGTGATAACAATATGGCTTGCTATCGTTCAATGACTTGAACCTGTGATCAAGATCGGAGAGTGAACTTAAGTAAATAAATACAGCAATCTGGTACTTTACCTACTTATTTATGTAGATATTCAGTTAGTCATTCAGTTTGGTTGTTTACATAGATGTTTTATGTATTTTGTAAATTAATTCCCACGTTAAACACGATATTTAAATAGAAAACAATGATTCATTGATTACTAAGACAGATGTAACGATGCGCAGCGGCTAAAATATATTACATGTTTTGAACAATATTTTCACGTTCTACTTTCATCACTCCAAAAAGTAATTATTTTTGTTTATATTCCTAAATTTTAATAAAGTAACTACATACATACTTACCTACAAAACGTAACTATAGCGATTAAAAAGAGAGTAAAGACTGCTTTATAGAGTTCTAATCGATCCATTAGGTAACAATAAGTAGAGACGGAACGTAAAAGGAGGAAAATACCACGTTGGTTCGTGCATAATAAATAATACCATTATGTCATTCTGTTGTACGTACGACATAGGAATTGGAAAATAAATATAAATAGACACAAAAAGTTTTTACTATAGACACGTTAATAGGCATGTGGTTTTCCTTAAGTGGCTGCAAAGCCAAGTTAGTTAAGTGACGTATGGTTACAGAATTTATGTTTAACATCTACGGTGTGAAAGGCCCATAAAGCAATGAAAATAAAATTCACATCGGAAAGAGTCATAAAGGAAAAGACGCCGACCTATATACGAGTGTTATGTATGTCGGAAGGTTATTTTAGTGTTTCACGAGCGCACGCACCAAGGTCTTCCTTCGCCACGGTTAGCCGGTTAGTGTCAGTGTAAACATTGTAGAGAGCGTACGTATTTTCTGCAATAACACTTTTAATCGACTAAAAGCTTTATTGCGGCCGTGTTTATTACAATAAGGAGTTAAACCTTTGTTCTAACGAGTGATATGAATTTGTTATTAGTTAAATTGCGTGTCTAAATGATGAAGTCATCGGCCATTCGCGAGGGTCGACCGGTGTTCCCTTTCGCGTAGTTCGCTTGTTTTGAATGAGACGGACGAATTAGAAAAATCGCAACTACTAGTCTAGACAGTGTTTTGTTTAGCAAGCTTTAATTTGTGGCGTGGTCGTAGTTTAAATAGTAGCGTGCTTTTTCAGGTAAGATTTTTATCCAAATGAAAGATGCGTAACTATTAAGTAACTCATTTAAATTGATTTATTTGTTTTTCATTTACTATATTAATACTGATTTAAAGTGGACTATTTTCTTATTATGCAATAGACCCTTTAAGACGCACAGTGTCACACACGAAACAATCACAGAGCTCTATTCAACGCTGTGCGTTCGATTTGTTTGTTCACTTAAGCAAGCCTCGTTTGTGAATAAACGATATTAAACAAGGTTAATAAGGTAAAAATAATTTAAGCAGGCAATTACTTACTTTTTAATTATGTAAAGTACCTACCTAAAACCATTAGGTATAATAAATTAAACTCATTACAGTTTCATTTGTATAATTTAATTAAATTTTAATATTTTTATGTAATTACACTTATTTTTAGAATGCCGGCGCTTCGTCTACTGGGGCGACGATGGATGTTTGCCTCAGACGATCTAGTGTTCCCCTCCATCTTGGAAATACCATACAGACTGACATGGTACGTAAATATAGGAACATAACATCATTATCAAAACAAACTGCCAGGGGCAGCAATGGGTGGGCCGGGCGAACACAACAGAACACAATGCGAATTTATTGCGCAAGAATAATCCTAATTAGTACTTAGAATTAAGAGCCAAAGCACACGATGCGTTGCGACTTGCGGCGCCGCATCGCAAAGATTTCGCCGTTTCACGCGGCGTGTGCCCGCCACAGATATTTCTATGAGACGACGCAGCGACACTGCTCCGGCGACGCACCGCGCCGCAAGTCAACGCATCGTGTGCTTTGGCTCTAAGTGTAACTTTGGCTGCGTGGGTAGCGGTCTCTCGAAAATCTTTTTCGCAGGGTTCTTTCTTTTGTCAATGGCTGAGTTGCTGTGCACCACCTTATTTTAACCGTCACTAGGTGTTTTTCGTATGGAGTTTGACATACTTTTGACGTTTGTTAAAGTTAAAGTAAGATGGTGCAACCCAGCCTAAGTATGACTGTAAAAATATGATTTGTTAAACTCGCCAAAGGCCACTCTACACTGAGTTAAAACTGAAGATTCAGCACAGATAAGCCTACATTTCAGACCTTGTAAGAGTCACAAAAAAATTTTATACCACGAATTAGAACTAAACTCTTGACTTGAATATGATACTTACTGTAACTTAAAGGATGCTTAATAGTTTGTTTTAACATGCTAACTGTTCTAGGCTGCTGCTCCTGTCGCTCGTGCTGCGAGACAGCGGCTCCTTCGATTGCAGGGAGACATCGTACGCGCAGCTGTTCGTTGATGGATGCCTCATGATACAGGTACTTACACTTTAACCCTCAGAAAGAACAAGCATTCATAAGTGACACATACCTATATCTTATCTACTACTTAATTAGTAAGGAAATCTACTTACAATATTAAATTCTCACTACAACTACTACAGGATTTGGCAACACACAAACACTTAAAAAAGTTAAAAAGATCCCGATGTTTGGATCCACCATTTTGGTTGCACGACCTTTTTTAAAAGTGTTGTGTTGCCAAATCCCGTACATAGTAAAGTGAGAATTTAGTAAAAATGCAACATGAAAGTTTTCAACATAAGTAAAAATAATTAATTGTGGATGTGAGCGAGTTAGACAATTCTTATCTCATATGGTGACCCCATAACCTAACGTATCTCGGAAACACATTAATCTTCTTAAAGAATGCTAATGTAAGTTATCCAAAGCTAGTGCTATGGAAGCTGTATTCTGTTAGCTTCTTTGAATTATAAATCTCATAGAACAGAAATTAGTCAAATATTTCTCAGCACCAGCCCATATTATATTGTCCCTAAGTGGTGGTGGATACTGAATAAAAGTTTTGATTTGAATAAGTTAAATTAAGAGACTTTATTTGGTGCAGGTTGTGGAAATCCTTCTTCTGGTAGCCACTGCGGTACACTCCGCGCGAGGCTCTCTCACAAACGAAGAGCCCCGGAGATACGTCGGGCATCTACTGATTTGCAAGTATATTTGCCCAAATGTTTATAATATTAAAAGCTTTATTATTTGAGAATTTTATTATCTTTATTATTTACCTATTAAAGTTAATAAGACTAGATAATGTACTAAGTACTGCATAGTTCGTTATAATTTAATCACTAGCCATGGAGTTGGAAGAGAGATAAACAAAAAACTTATAAATCTTTTTTTGAAATTGTTGATTTTATTAAATTGCTTTTCCTAATGATCATGAATGATTTCAGATTGTTCTTCCTGATAGTGGAGATGGGATTACTCGTTATGGGTAATATTTGGGTAATAATTGGATCAGTCGATTGCCAAGTATCTGGGTTCACCAAGACGATTTTACAATGTAAGTAGTTTTTTTTAGTAAGTTAATTCAAATGTCCGTCGACTGTAGTATATCAACATTTAGGTGTGACAGTCTCAACTTCATGATAGCTTTTCTACGCCCTAAAACAGGGCTGAAGCCAAAGTATTTTTCTTCTCTTTCTCTACATTTTTGTAGGTTCTTTACGGAATTTATTTATTCACAGTCAAACCTGGATAAGCGAGAGTTCAAGGGAGCACAATCTCATTCTCGCTTATAGAGGTTTCTCACTAACCCGAGTTTCTCGCTAATGCAGGTACATGGGTAGCGTTTCTCTCTTATAGGGGTCACACCGTCACACGTGTCCATTTGAAAAGAATGCGATAAAATAACAACAATAAAGTTATATTTAGTTCCACGAAATTAGGAACAATATTGACGAGAATACAAAAACAATGGTAGGAAGTTCCACGAAAGTTAAGAATGAGACATAAAATAGCACATGTTAAATTTGTAAATAAAGCTCGACTGTCGCTTATAGAGGTATAGATAAGTAGCAGTCTCACTTACGGAGGTCTATGAGGGAAAAACGACTCTCTCTTACAAAGGTTTCTGTTTCTCCCTAATAGAGGTTTTGGGAGCTTAAAATGACGGGTCCTGGCTATTACTCTCACTTATAGAGTTTTCTCACTTATCCAGTTCTCACTTATCCAGGTTTGACTGTATTTAACTTTAATGGCAAAATACATTTGTACATAAGGCGAACTTAATGCACTAAAGCATTCTCGACCAGTTTACCTTTGGGTTGAGCAGAAAAGAAATTTGAATTTAAAGCGATCACGAAATTAAATCTGTCACAAATGTTTCATACTTTTTCTAGAGGATCAGGCATTCTTTAGTATCAAATGGTAACGCGTGCCTTTCTTCTTTTATTTCACTGTCTTTCCTAATTAGAAACTTATTTCAGGTATAGTCATACTGTCATGGATACCAATGGCTTTAATGGCACTGGCAGTGTACTTTGCCTACGACCCATTAGGGACTCTGAAGTACGAAGATCTGCAGACCCCTGAAGAGAGGGACTACTACCATAAGAAGTTCACAGAAATATGGGAGAGCAGGCTTCGGTGGACGTTTTGGTATTTTAAAGACAGCAAGATGAAGGAGGCAATCAGCGAAATGGCATGTGAGAGATATTATAATTAATACTTAGCCTAAGCTTACTCGTAAAACTTATCTAATAAGGTCTAGCTATACTTTAGTAGGACAATCATATCACACTTACCCACTTAAGTACCTATGTAGCCACAATCAATTGATTGGGATATTGATTGATTTGTGGTTTATGTCCATACTCCTACTTAACCCAGATCACTAAAAGCGACGAGCCTGTCCAGGCCAGCCGCTGCAAAGCTTATGTATTAATGTCTATAAATTAAATGATAAACTTTTCTTTCCAGCGCTTCTAAGTATACTGTTCAGATCATCAGACCTGGTTCTCTACGACTTGATTGCCGGGTCCATACTCCTACGCGTCCGTCAGAAACGCGAGTCGAGGATCAAGAAAGCCACCCAGCCTGCTGATGCTGAGACAGTCACTGAAGAAAACGAGTATACCACAGATATGCGAAAGATCTGCGCCGACGCACCGGCCTGGATGACGGTAGAGGAGGCTCAGCATTACTTGAAGTATGCTACTGCGGCGTATGGTGGACTCTATGTGCTGTATAGATACTACTGTGCTGGGTTTTGCTTCCTTCTTCCGTATTTGAGATGCTGTTGTTGGAGGTAAGTGTTTCTTTTTAATATTTTATGGACTTCTTAATCTAAAGTAGGTACATTAATAGTTCAACTTCGTAGTTAATTGTTACTAGAAGTAATAATGCTACGCAAATTATGTAAATAATTAATTAATTTCAAAAACAAATGATACTTTGTTAAGTTTAGCAGAAATTGGTTTGTTTATCATAAAACAAGAACTACTCGTAACATCTGCACACTATTTTATTAAATCGCTAACTGTACCTACCATTTCTATTTTATTGAACCGTTTTGAATCAAATATTTGCAAACAACTAAAAGGTTGCGCTGTTATTTAGGTATCTTTCTATCGTTAATGTATGTAAATAGGACTGATGCTACTTTTCCTTCCTCAACTTTAAAATTCCATTTGTGTGCAGGCCGCGACATGTCAAGGGTGACAACTGCTGCATGTGCAACTACGCAGGGCTCAAGTACATGTCCGATGTCGCCGACAAAGACTTCCTCTTCGTTTCCTTCGAGAACCACATATTTGAAGTAAGCTAATTGCCATATTTTACACTATATTAATAGCAGCTAACTAACCAATAACAAGAAATTTTAATCCTACAACGAAAACATTTTCTCGTCCATCATCAAACTAATAACTCTAGTACACTACGCTATCACTGACTACAGTTAAATAACGGCGAAGAAGTTACGACTGCTACTAATATGCATCAAATAAATCGCACCTCCCGCAACAAGCACTTTTCAAAAGTATGCATCCTCAATTCCTCACTTCCCACCAACATTGGTACCATTTGAAAGCCTAGTTCTAAACTTAATTTCATTAAAGGAAAGGTTTTTACCCCAAAAATGTGTCTTTAGAAGGATCCAGAGTCACTTCTTCGAAAAATAGGTAGTTACGCTTGAGCCAACTTTTATGGCTATAAAACTGTTAAGTTGGGATTAATCGCTATCCATCTGTTAAAGAGGACACGTGAGGTCATTATTTGGTTTTATAACCATAAAAATTGGTCTAATTGATCCCACAGATGAGCCCAAAGTGAGGTCATTTTTCAAGTCACATTTATGGTATATGTTAATCATTTAGTTATTAAGAAATTAAATGTGTTTTGCTTTAATGATATTTATTGGGCTTTCAAATAACACCAATATTGTTGGAGCACCATGATTGTGTCAGAAGAAAATCTTTAAAGTTCGCGTCGCGGAAGGTGCAATTTATTTGATGTTGAGTATATTACCTACGTTTGTCATTTACGTAGCTACAAATACTACGTCGGGTACTAAAGAGTAGCTACAACTGCTACGTTACTACTCTACTAATTAGCTACGACTGCTACATGTAGCTACGACTGCTACATTTAGCTACGACTGCTACATTTAGCTACGACTGCTACATTTAGCTACGACTGCTAAATTTAGCTACGACTGCTACATTTAGCTACGACTGCTACATTTAGCTACGACTGCTGCGTACGACTACCTACTAATAAGTAGCTACGAACGACCACTGTTTTGACTACTACCGTGTAGCTACGATTGCTGCGTAAGCTAAGTAACACGGTTCCTTAATTTAATTTGCTAATTACAGCTGCTCTGTAAGATAAGTTTAGAGAAAAACTGTTGATTTTTGGTACTTCCGTTTTGTTTTCTGACGATAACATTGTTATATCAGGTGCCTTTCTACGTAATTGCTGAGCACGAACGTAGGTGCATCGTGGTGACCGTCCGAGGGTCCATTTCGATTCCTGACATGTTCACAGACTTAGCCGCCCCTGCGCATGCATTTCAAGCCGAAGGTTGGTGGAATTTTCCTCTTCTCCTGTATGTTGTAGGAATTTAGTTTCGTATTTTCCATAATTAAGTACTTACCTACTAAGGATTACTAGCTAAGGATTTGAAACGTTTGATAAATTAAATTTAATTCCAACACTATCTTTGACGTAGAATGAATTATCTTTTGTGTTTTAGGTCTACCAGAAGGTTCCCTGGCTCATAAAGGCATGGCATTGGGCACTGAGAAGACCCTAGAACGACTCGCACCAATTTTGGAAAGAGCGTTTGCTGAGTATCCCGACTATGAACTAGTGATAACAGGTAGGTAACGAATATTTAGGTATCATAACATCTTATCGTTGCATCTTCAAATTATTACGATAACAAGAAAAATACCTGCCTTATTTACATAAGGAACGTGTAAAGTAACACAGACTTTAGAAAGTTAACAAGTATTTTAATAATATTTACCTACTTTTCAGGTCACAGTTTGGGAGCTGCAATATCTACTTTACTTGGTATCAAGTTAAAACCAAAATATCCCCATCTCAAAGTATTTGCATTTTCAACACCGTGTAAGTCTGTTCACCTTTTACTTGCCTATTCAAATTTAAATCTTAATTAGCATACTAACTCCAGATGTTAACAAGCGACTACTAAAAATATCTTGTTACGACGTTGTTAACATAATATTATTATTGGAATCTGTTAAAAATATTTTTGACAAGCTGTACAATTTTTGTCATGTACTTAACTGCAATATGGGGTTTGACTGTTAAATAAGTACCTACCTATAATCATGGAAAAATTATGATTTTTGTAAAATTAATTACGTCAAAGCTAAAAGTACAAAGTCAGCGTCCTACGTCCAGGTGGACATCCTATGGCTGAAATGATGATGATGATAAGAATGTGCTATCGGCAATAGAGTTAACTGCCCATTGCCGGACATGTCGTCTCGTTCTATCGCAAAGAATCACCATTTGATGAGAGCGAGAGCAAAAACGGAAATGGATAGTTACACTGTGGCTGTGTGTACCTACTTACTCGTAGGACGGTCTAATGGCGTCGAGTTCGAAAACATTCCTATTTTTCCTATGGACTACTTGTTATTTCAGATCAGGTCATTTAATCTCTACTGCACAAACCTCTGTTATTTACCAGAGACAAATGGAGAATTTGGTCTACACTCTCCACATTGGCTAGACGGGTTGGGGAGGCTTGATGTGTTCATAATGTCTCTTACGATATCCACGTGAATTCCAGATTCTAAGGCCCAGAACAGACGGTGAAACGCAACTGCAACGAAACTGTAACTGCTAGTTACTTTTGAGTTGCATCTAAGTGTCTGCCATAGCGTCCGTTAAGAGACCACACATGACGCGACCAGTTTGAAACTTTCAGTTTCAGTTTCATTCATAAGAATCATCAGAAAGTTGCAGTTTCGTTGCAGTTGCGTTTCACCGTCTGTTCGGGGCCTAAAATAACCAGATCCAGTTCGTTTGACGTCGGTCATCATAATTTATTTGTCCTTTTGCAGCGGGCTTACTAAGTCGTGATGCTGCACGGTACACCGAGGGTTTCGTTATGACGGTAGGCGTCGGTGATGACCTGGTGATGAGGATCAGTCTCAAGAGCGCGCAGATGTTCCGCGACCGGCTTTTAGAGACCATGCACGCTACCAACTTACCTAAGGTAACTTTAGTGATAGAAAGAGAAAGAGAAAAATATTGTTTATTTAATTCAAGATAGTTCATTATTCGCAAACCTCTTAGGCCCAAACTCGAGTATGAATGTATACTCAAGATTAGATTCAAGGCTGTGTGAGCTAATTTCAATATTTGGATTATTTGTATCTTTGAATAAGACTCAAAGTGTAAATTAATATTTTAGAGAGTCGCATGAGCTATGAAGTTTACTAACGTTCATAAATATCTTGTCTAGGTATACTTTTTTCGTTTATCTAAATGAAAGTTGAAGATTTGCTTACAAAAATACCATACATTACATTTTAGTCCCCCTTTCTGACATCTAAGTACTGCAGTAGGTATTCTTCAAACGGAAACCTTTTAGGTTTACTTACATTGTTCTCATCTTTTCAGTACCGGATATTGCTGAAAGGACTTCGCTACATGTTCTTCACGATACCTGAAACGGATCTGAACACTGTCTTCAATGCACCGACGGATGACATCGAGGCGAACTTAATCGGTCCAACTAGATTAGTGAGAAGTGTTTCATACGTAAGTACCTAATACTTATCTTATTGCCAAAAAGCCAAAAAATAAGACATAGATCGTGCCATCCACGAAGACGTGCCCTAGGTAGGTACCTACCAATTTTTGGTCGAGGAAAGCGCGGGGTGCGGGGAGTTTGATACGAGCAATTCGAGCGTCTTTATTGCAATGTGCGTGTAACGATGCAGCGTGGGACATCCACCTACAAGGTGGACAGACGACATCGTAAAGGTAGCAGGGAAGCGCTGGACGCAGGCCGCTACCAATCGATCAACATGGAAAGCATTGGGGGATGCCTATGTTCAGCAGTGGACGTCCTATGGCTGAAATGATGATGATGATGATGATGTGTAACGATAACACTCAAACATTAGCGGAAGAATGGTGGGGCACGTCTTCGTGGATGACTCGAACTAACCTTTCTATATTTAGCATATCATAGCCAAACATTCACTCAAATGTTTGTATTACATTACAGGACATAGAACGAATGTACATCGCGGGACGCATTCTTCACATTGTGCCTCACAAACCAGCCGGTATAGACAGGTAAGGATGTTTGAAACTGTATACATAATTAACTTATCGAAACCATATGCATGTTGAGGCACAGAATAATAATAAGAATCTACTTAGTTTAGGTAGTAGCTATTGAATATTCATTAAATAAATAAAACTAATCGCAAAGATTAAATAATTTGCAATAAGTCACTCTTATCATAATTTGTGGTCATTATAATTATTACAATTAATATTCAATGTCAATGTCTTTTGCCATGACGAAGTCCTGAATTAAGTTATTAATCCCAACACAAATGTTCTAGGATATGAGTCATGTCTATTTGCAGTTTATTTACAAAGTGATAGTGAAATAAACATGATGCCATCAGAAATCAAAGTCTAATAATTAATCTTTTACAATCACTTTTAATATGACCTCATACATGTAAAAAGTACCTACTTACCTACCCTTTTACGCAGTCAATTGAATTAACTGATTATTAAACAAAGGGCCTTGTAATAAATACTGTTTTTCAATATCTTTTTCAGAAGTGCCCTGGACCGTGAGCCAAAGTACAAACTCCGGTGGGCAAACGCCGAAGACTTCGCGGAACTAGTGGTAACACCAAGCATGCTAGTCGACCACATGCCCGAGAACGTTCTGGAGCCCTTGCAATCCATTTGTAGCGCCAGATTAAATAATATTATGTAGATAAGCGTAATCAAGTATTGTTACAGTTCTCGCCAGTGATTGGCGATATTGTAAATACAAACAATGAAGATTCTCTTTGTTTTTTCATTGTGATGGAAATTTAAGTCGGCCATATTTATTTGCAATATTGCAATCTTATATGGCGTGAACGTTCTGATACGTTCTGATCTTAACAGTTCAGATGAAGTAACAGCGGGGTACTCACTAAAAAGTTGTCCGTATTTTTGGATCTTGATCCCTTTTTCTCAAAGCAAGTCAAGCAAGAGCGACTAATAACAAATTGGAAAATACGGAAACAGCGAAGCCCCGAAATGTTTACTGAAGTAGCATAGAAAGAGACTGAGTTTTAAAAACTTGAACTCTTAAAGCGTCTGTAATACAACAAACTTAATCTAGAGTTTATTCACTATTAAGTGCCTATGGTGTCTCAATACGGAGAAACGATCTATGTATTTTTTGAAATGTATAATGTCCCAGATTAAAAACGTATGATGTGATATTTTTTTACAATGCAATAGAATGTAAGTGCAATAAGTGTTACTTAATAATTATGTTGATTTAATTTTTGCTGTTACTAGAAATAATAAACGGTACAACTATTTGAGAAGATAGCATTTATAGATAATATTGAATTTCTAACATATTTTTTACATGACAAGCATGATACAGTCGGTAACTCATCAGAATGTTAAAACATTGTTGCTAAACCTCATTTATTATAACTAAAGCCCGGTCTGTGAGCACATAGAATTTTGTCCAATGACCCCAAGCTACCCATCCTTATCGCTCGCGCGTAATTATATTGCTGTCGCGACTGTGCGACAGGCGCCCGCAGAGAGTGGGTCATTGGACAAAATTCTACGTGCTCGCAGACCAGACTATACATAAAACCACATGTTTAACTTCATATTCCGCCGACTGTACTTATGTACTACCTACTTAAAACCCTTGAATACCTACTTGACTAAAAGTGATTTATGATAAGTTAATGCATTGTTAAAAGTTTCACTTGCATGAAGTTCATTTACAATATACTCAATTATTTGTAAATAAATTATGTTGGTATATGAACATCCCAGTACAACTAAGCGTAATATTTTTTGTTATTTATACGTATGCATACGTATTGTGTTTTATAAATAAGTATTTATTATTGTTAGCATTTTTTAATTTCAATTGCTTCCATTTACTTGAGTATGAGTGACTGAAGTGAGTTTTTAAAAGTCTAATGCCTGTTTTCACCATCAATCCCTAATTTTTAAGTGACCCCTATTGGTAACACAACAGAATTTTTGTTTTCACTTAAAAAATAGGGATTGATGGTGAAAACGGGCATAATTATCATTGCTGAACGCAGGCATACCTACTTGGTAAATTGTATGTGTATTTCTTATGTCATTGGAGAATAGTTGGTACTTGTATTCATTATTATATGTGAAACGTATATTTTTATTGATGTATGGACGACTTCTTACGATCCAGCACTCGAAATAATAAAACATTATAAGAGAGAATATTAAAATGCATTTTTATTTATTTTAAAATAGAATACAAAAATACACTTATATCATCAGTCAATTTATAATATCACAGCAAAATAGTAAACAGATTGAGTAATATCTTATTAATTTTAAATTAACGATTTGGATAACATTGGAAATTATAACGATATAAAAGCATTAATATAGTCTAACAATATACATTTGGCGTAAGCTATATTGCGTATTTAACCCATTGAACGCCTGATTGCTTATATAGTTTACTACATGCGCAATATTACATAGTCGGTTATGGGTATGGCATGGGTTAATGTCCTATGCTAAATGAGTCGTTTTAAGAATGAGATCGTGACATCACTGTGTCAGCGTCGGGCCGAATATCATCTGCACAGATTGCGCAGCTCCGTCACAGCGGCCTGTGACACCGGGGTTTTGTTCTTCTCCGTTTTGTACCTATAAAACATTTTTATATCAGCTTACCGCTCAATTTTGAACTCTTATTGTAAATCAAATAAAAGCAGGATCAGGTCCTACATTTTAGGATATACGTGAAGCAACATTAAAAAACTATTAATATGATAAAGTTACAACACAAAAAGGTTTCTCCTGCTTAGGGCTAACACCTGGAATGGCAATAAAAACATCCTTAATGCCATAAAATGGGCCAGATCCTAAAACACAAAAGCCGGACTCTGTGCTTCAGGCCTGATCGTTGCCCATCGCGCGTCGTTAGGCCAGCTCTCACTATACCTCACTGCTACAGCCACTAGCAACGCTAACGTCTCTCTAAATATAGCTACCTACCTCTCTAAGAAGTGATGTGCCACGTCGGGCCTGTAGGCGGCCATATCGCGCAGGTAGGCCTGGTCGTTGCCCATCGCGCGTCGGTAGGCCAGCTCTCGCCACGCCTCGCCGCCGCGGCCCGCTAGGAGTACCAGGCCCTCCATGAAGCTGAAGCGATATTGGAATATTTTCTCGTTAATTTGTTGGAAAGGCTACACAAATGCAAGGTCCTTTAAGGACCGTCCTTACGTATATGGTACTAAAATTTAGTCTTAATCAGCATGTTTAAAAAAAATATTTTGACGACGAGTTCAAGTTTTAACCGCAAACTCTATCATTTAACAATGATCAGTTTGTATGACCCACTTTATAGAGGAAATTGGTATAGCAAGCTACATAATAGTAAAATAACCCAACACAAAAGACACTAATGATTCAATGAAGCCGTGACCTTACTATTCATCATCTGCTATGTCACACTTCAACTTAGTCACTACACTATGCAAACAAGATGTTTTCAAAGTACTTCATTACCCAAAGAAACAAAAGACAATAGTTTATTGACCACCTCAAATACTGCATAACTGAGCCAATGCCTGAGGTATGGGCCAGCCACGGGAGAGTTTTAATGACGTCAAAGGTCAGACTTCAAATGTGCTTTAGGCTTGTACGTTCTGTTACGTCATTTGTTATTATACACCTCACTATTTTCGAGCCGCTCCCTTACCTCAGGCACTTACTCCAGTATTCACAAACGATGCTTGCTTATGTGCGTTGAATAGAGCCTTGTGATTGGTTCGTGTGTCACCCTGTGCGTCCACGCGCACTGTGAAACCTCATAGTAATGTTGGTGAATACGGGCGTTATTCAGTTATGTGCTAGACTTGCTGTTTTCAAACTTAAACCACAGAAACAAAACACAACACTTTGTTTTTAAAGCCCTTCTTCAACCAAAAAAAAACAAAAGACAGTTCCATTACCCACCTCAAATACTCGCTGACGAGTTTATACATCTGCTCAGTGCTTCTGTTCAGTATGAGCCTGGTGGGCGAAGCGTTCAGCAGCGACATCTGCAAGGCCACCTGCTGCGCCAGTGCTGCCATCTCGCCAGCGAAGCCGGTGCAGCCGCCTTGCAGGTACAACTCGGAAGCGTCGGTGCAGTGGTTCAGGGCAGTCTCTAGGAGAGACCTAGAATGTTAAAACATTGCTGTGAGAATAGGTTTAATAAGATAACACGCGATGTACAGTCGCGGAATGAAAAGGTTCGACAGTTTTCAAATTGATTCCTTCAACGAATCGCGAGCACATATTACCTTTTGAAACTATGTTACAGAATAATCTCGAGTTAGAGAAAATTATCTTTAACTGTTCGTCAGTAAAGTTCAAAATTATTAAGATCAAAGTTGTTTGACGATTTAACTTGTCAAGAAGATTATTATGATTGTTAAACTAAAACCTTCTTGTTGGTTCAACCTGCCATTATCTATTAAATAAAAAAAACTACATTTTGTAACATTGCCATTGCACTGATGGGATAGAAAAATAAACAAGCAAAACCTTATTCGTTAGCAAACGTCATATTTATTTAAATGTTAGCAGCACTGTTTCTTGCACNTATGAGCCTGGTGGGCGAAGCGTTCAGCAGAGACATCTGCAAGGCCACCTGCTGCGCCAGTGCTGCCATCTCGCCAGCGAAGCCGGTGCAGCCGCCTTGGAGGTACAACTCCGAAGCGTCGGTGCAGTGGTTCAGAGCTGTCTCTAGGAGAGACCTAGAATGTTAAAACATTGCTGTGAAAATAGCTTATTGAGATAACACGTGAGGTACTTAATCTATAATATAAAAATGAATCGCAAAACGTGTTGGTGAGCTCATAGCTCAACAACGCCTGGACCAATTTTACCAACCAATTCATTTTTTCAAATTTTTGTTGAAGTCCAAGGATGGTTTTTACGGCGAGATTTGCAAAATTAACCCTTAACACGCGTACAAAGTCACGGGCGGCCGCTATTGTATAATTTATTACATTCCATAGGCTACAAAAAATGTTACATAGTTTTATGGCATCTCTATGGACCTAAAACGGCACCAAAATATTCCAGGGAAAAACTTATGCTACATTTACCACCTTTAGTACCTATTATAATCTAATTTTAGACACAAAACTAGATGTGATTCCAACTTAAAAAAAATAGTAACTAAAATATGGAAGATGCCTACTTATAGGTATTGTTCTAACTATCACTTTAATTACCAAATCCTAAACTAAACAGGAAAAAGTAAAAGTAAACAGAATGAAAGTATGACATCTGAGTAGATAAGGAAAAAAATAAAAAGATTAATGTATTTGATATGCGAATAAGTAAACAATTCATGCGTGCTTCAAAAGGCTTACTTGGGTAAATAAACGCTCTTGTTTATCACGCGAGTCTCTCGCGGGATTAGAAAAATAAAGTGAAAGTCCGATATGCGAACCACCAAGACAGGCGATCGTAATCGTAAATTCGATTCGTCGAAAATTATTAATAAACTGTACCTAATTTGAGTTCTATAGCTAGGTAGGTTCTTTAAAGGAGACATCCGTTAAGAGCGGATTTTACGAAACTCCAACCCTAAGGATTTAAAACGGGGATTGGAAGTTTGTTTAAAAGTCCTATATTTTAACGCGTACGAAGTCGCGGGTATTACACCGCTAGTATATCAATAAATGTATTTTACCTCGTCGTAACATTATCATGTATCTGTAGCCACACTTGTGGCTGGTTCGGCTTTTTAGGGACCCCTCTGGCCGCTTCCATCGCCAGTTTCTCCAAGTCCTCAATCAGGTCTAACGCCTGTTTTCTCTTGACGTTGGCCGCCTCAGCATACATGTTAAAGTGTAAAGCCACCATGATGTAGGCGTCCGTGTCCCCAGGACAGTGGGTTTTCAAGAAGTCCAGGAGGCCCTGCTTGAATTCTGCAATCTTGTCCGGCTGTTGGCCGAGCATGTAGTCGAATTGGCCAAGGAGGAACTCGAACTGGTGGTTGTCTCGTAACGCCTGCAAAATAAAGATAAGTTTGCTTTAGATTTATGAAAGTTTCATACTGGTTTCGACTAGGATAGTATGAACTTTCTTTACGTGTTGATTTTTGTTAATATTTTATTTGTTTTACCATAGGACTACAAGGCCTACTACGATTGCAAATACTTACTTAAGTACTTTTAACAATGTATGGGGAGGGGTGTAGGTACATTAATCGATAGATTTATCTTATTAAGGTTTCGAAGGAAGAAGAATAAATATCAGGTAAAAGCTATTTAATGTCAAAATTCTAGTAAACATAAATTTACACAGAAAACAATATTAAATTCGTTTAAGTATAACGTGCCTGAATTTATCCATTGTCAGTAGAAAATTCGAGTCGTAAATATCATTTGGGTAAAAAATATCACAATAATGACAATATCAACAATCACATTCTTTTTGGTATAATAAGGGAGAGTCCGNAGCAATATCGATTGTTTATATCGATGACGAAACCTAGTCCTCAAACTACCAGACGATAACATTGACAGATAGTGTAACAATTTGTGTTATCAGTCCGTGCTGTAGCTCCGGTCGCTACCGCATGCATGCTGTGTTAATTGCTTATCTGCATTCGTTATTTTATTGTCATAAAAAAAACATCGTGGTTCAATTGTTTTTGAGTTACAAAAATACTGATTCAAAATGTTACGTACAGTCCAGTGATATTTTCCATAATAATAGAGACTTGTGTATGTTTAAATTAAATGATAAACAATGTGTGGTGATAACAATATGGCTTGCTATCGTTCAATGACTTGAACCTGTGATCAAGAAGATCGGAGAGTGAACTTAAGTAAATAAATACAGCAATCTGGTACTTTACCTACTTATTTATGTAGATATTCAGTTAGTCATTCAGTTTGGTTGTTTACATAGATGTTTTATGTATTTTGTAAATTAATTCCCACGTTGAACACGATATTTAAATAGAAAACAATGATTCATTGATTACTAAGACAGATGTAACGATGCGCATCGGGTAAAATAAATTACTTACAAACATGTTTTGAACAATATTTTCACGTTCTACTTTCATCACTCCAATAATTATTTTTGTTTATATTCCTACATTTTAATAAAGTAACTACATACCTACAAAACACATAAATAGTGATTAAAAATCTCACTCACTGAAAAGAGAGTAAAGACTGCTTTATAGAGTTCTAATCTATCCATTAGGTAATAAGTAGAGACGGAACGTAAAAGGAGGAAAATACCACGTTCGTTCGTGCATAATAAATAATACCATAATGTCATTCTGTTGTACGTACGACATAGGAATTGGAAAATAAATATAAATAGACACAAAAAGTTTTTACTATAGATACGTTAATAGGCATGTGGTTTTCCTTAAGTGGCTGCAAAGCAAAGTTAGTTAAGTGACGTATGGTTACAGAATTTATGTTTAACATCTACGGTGTGAAAGGCCCATAAAGCAATGAAAACAAAATTCACTTCGGAAAGAGTCATAAAGGAAAAGACGCCGACCTATATACGAGTGTTATGTATGTCGGAAGGTTATTTTAGTGTTTCACGAGCGCACGCACCAAGGTCTTCCTTCGCCACGGTTAGCCGGTTAGTGTCAGTGTAAACATTGTAGAGAGCGTACGTATTTTCTGCAAACCCACTTTTAATCGACTAAAAGCTTTATTGCGGCCGTGTTTATTACAATAAGGAGTTTAACCTTTGTTATAACGAGTGATATGAATTCGTTATTAAATTGCGTGTCTCAATGATGAAGTCATCGGCCATTCGCGAGGGTCGACCGGTGTTCCCTTTCGCGTAGTTCGCTTGTTTTGAATGAGACGGACGAATTAGAAAAATCGCAGCTGGTCTAGACAGTGTTTTGTTTAGCAAGCTTTAATTTGTGGCGTGGTCGTAGTTTAAATAGTAGCGTGGTTATTCAGGTAAGATTTTTATCCAAATGAAAGATGCGTAACTATTAAGTAACTCATTTAAATTGATTTATTTATTTTTCATTTACTAAGTATAATATCTTTTAAAACGACGTTAAAAAAACAATACATAAACAAGATTAATGTGGTAAAAATAATGTAAGCAGGCAATTACTTTTTAATTATGTAAAGTACCTACCTAAAACCATTAAGTATAATGAATTAAACTCATTACAGTGTCATTTGTATAATTTACTTATTAAATTTTCATATTTTTATGTAATTGTACTTATTTTTAGAATGCCGGCGCTTCGTCTTCTGGGGCGACGATGGATGTTTGCCTCAGACGATCTAGTGTTCCCCTCCATCTTGGAAATACCATACAGACTGACATGGTACGTAAATATAGGAACATAACATAATTATCAAAACAAGCTGACAGGGGCAGCAATGGGTGGGCCGGGCGAACACAATGCGAATTAATTGCGCAAGAATAATCCTAATTAGTACTTAGATATAAGAGCCAAAACACACGATGCGTTGCGACGACGCGCCGCAATCATTTCGCGGTTTCGCGCGGCGCCGCACCGCTCGTGTGCCCGCCACAAATATTTCTATGAGACGACGCAGCGACACCGCTCCGGCAACGCACCGCGCCGCAAGTTAACGCATCGTGTGCTTTGGGTCTAAGTGTAACTTTGGCTGCGTGGCCTCTCGAGAATCTTTTTCGCACGGCTCTTTCTTTTATCAATGGCTGAGTTGCTGTGCATCACCTTATTTTAACAGTCACTAGGTGTTTTTCGTATGGAGTTTGACAGACTTTTGACGTTTGTTAAAGTTAAAGTAAGATGGTGCAACCCAGCCTAAGTATGACTGTAAAAATATGATTTGTTAAACTCGCCAAAGGCCACTCTACACTGAGTTAAAACTGAAGATTCAGCACAGAGAAGCCTACATTTCAGACCTTGTAAGAGTCACAAAAAATTTTAATACCACGTAATAGAACTAAACTCTTGACTTGAATATGATACTGTAATTTAAAGGATGCTTAATAGTTTGTTTTAACATGCTAACTGTTCCAGGCTGCTGCTCCTGTCGCTCGTGCTGCGAGACAGCGGCTCCTTCGATTGCAGGGAGACGTCGTACGCGCAGCTGTTCGTTGATGGATGCCTCATGATACAGGTACTTAGACTTTAACCCTCAGATAGAACAAGATAAGTATTCATAGGTGACACATAAGTATTAGATACCTACTACTACATATTGTATAAGGAGTAACAATAAGTTAATCTAGGGCCTAGACACAGGCCTAGAATCTAGGCTTACAGTATTACTTACTGTTTTACAATATTTATAACTGTTGTACCTACAACTTAAATAATATAATTTATTGTTTTTGGGTGTGAGTGTGTTAGACAATTCTTATCTCATACTCGACCCCATAACCTAACGTATCTCGGAAACACATAATCTTCTTAATTATGTTATCCAAAGCGAATCACACCCGGATATTCTTATAGAGTCCAGCTCTCTCTAACTACTGAACCACGGAAGCAAACCCAAAGGTGCTTATCTCATATCTAACGCTTTGGAACCTGTATTCTGTTAGCTTATAAGATATTTGAATTATAAATCTCATAGAACAGAAATAAGTCAAATATTTCTCAGCACCAGCCCATATTATATTGTCCCTAAGTGGTGGCAGGGCAAGCTATATTTGGGCCCTGCGTGCCCGTAAGCCTAAGTACCGATTTGATTTGAATAAGTTAAATTAACAGGACTTTATTGGTGTAGGTTGTGGAAATCCTGCTTCTGGTGGCCACTGCGGTGCACTCCGCGAGAGGCTCCCTCACAAACGAAGAGCCCCGGAGATACGTCGGGCATCTACTGATTTGCAAGTATATTTGCCCCAATGTTTATAATATTAAAAGCTTTATATTATTTGATTTGATGATTAAAGTTAATATGACTCCCAGATATGTACTAACTACTAGTTTGTTATAATTTAATCACTAGCCATGGAGTTGGAAGAGAGATAAACAAAAAACTTATAAATCTATTTTGCAAATTGTTGATTTTATTAAATTGCTTTTCCTAATGATCATGAATGATTTCAGATTGTTCTTCCTGATAGTGGAGATGGGATTACTCGTTATGGGTAATATTTGGGTAATAATTGGATCAGTCGATTGCCAAGTATCTGGGTTCACCAAGACGATTTTACAATGTAAGTAGTTTTTTTTTAGCGAGATAATTCAAATGTCCGTCGACTGTAGTATATATCAACATTTAGGTATGACAGTTTCAACTTCATGATAGCTTTTCTACGTCCTGAAACAGGGCTGAAGCCAAAATATTTTTCTTCTCTCTCTCTCTCTCTCTCTCTCTCTCTACATAATAATATTTGTAGGTTCTTTACGGAATTTGAAGCGATCACGAAATTAAATCTGTCACAAAGTAGTTTCATACTATGTCTAGAGGATTAGGTATTCTTTAGCATCAAATGATAAGGTGTGCCTTTCTATCCCTCTTCTTTTATTTCACTGTCTTTCCTAATTAGAAACTTATTTCAGGTATAGTCATACTGTCATGGATACCAATGGCTTTAATGGCACTGGCTGTGTACTTTGCTTACGACCCATTAGGGACTCTAAAGTACGAAGATCTGCAGACCCCAGAAGAGAGGGACTACTACCATAAGAAGTTCACAGAAATATGGGAGAGCAGGCTTCGGTGGACGTTTTGGTATTTTAAAGACAGCAAGATGAAGGAGGCAATCAGCGAAATGGCATGTGAGAGATATTATAATTAATACTTAGCCTAAGCTTACTCGTAAAACTTATCTATTAAGGTCTATAGTTACTTTAGTACAGTGGTTCTTAACCTTTAAGTCATGAGGGACCATTTTACCAAATTTCTGTCTTGTCAGGGACCACATCATAATCGGTCAAAACAAGTTTAACTGCAAAAATCAGTTAAAAGTGTTTTTAATCAAGGTGTGCAAGTGCACTTCGTGGACCACTTGGAATGTCTCCAGGGACCACCAGTGGTCCAGGGACCACCAGTGGTCCGCGG